TTAATGATCTAACAGGAACTGTCAAAAAGAATAATATAAACAATATATTGGGTGATCATAGCATTTGGTTAAGTGTAATGAATGAGAGCAATGTTATAAGGGACAGAATGGTGGAATTAGAAACACTCTGTTATGAGGTACCTTCAATACCTGTGGAGTAGTATAGTGTTATTGAAAAGTAGACAGATTAGTTGCAAATGTATATAGGAAACTCTAGGGCAACCACTAAAATAATTTTAAAACAAAGGATAATTGATATGCTAAGAGAAAATGAAAACATATGAAATGCTCAATTAAAACCAGAGAAGGCAGAGAAACAGGGGAAGACAAAAACAAATAAAAAAGAACACCACCAGCAAAATTACAAATATAGTAGATGTTAATGCAACAATATCAATAATCACTTTAAATGAGGATACTAAGTACATCAATAAAAAATAGAGTAGATTAAAAAATATAAAGCAAAACAAAAACAAAAAACAAGATCCACTATTTGTGTCCTAAAAGAAACCTGTCTGAAATATAAGGACATAAATAGAGTAAAAGTAAAGGGATAGGGAGAGATGGTCTATATTAATTAGAAGAAAACTAGATTAGCTATATTAATTTAAGAGAGTAGATTTCATAGCAAAAAAAATTATTAGGGATAAAGAGAGTCATTATATAATGGATAAAGGTGTCAATTTTCTAAGAAGACATAACAATACTTAATATGCATGTGCCTAATAACAAAGCAACAAAATACATGAGGAAAAAAATTGATAGCATTATAAGAAAAAATGCACAAAACACTATTATAGTTGGAGACTTCAAAATCCCTACATTTAATACCAAAACAAGATAAAAATATTATAAGAAAGAAAAACTCTGGATAAATACCATTCATACACATAAATGCAAAAATCCTCAATAAAAAATTCAGCAAATCAAATCTAACAGTCTATAAAAATAATTGTACACCATGCCAAATTGAGATTTTCCTCTGATATGCTGCCTGATTCAATATTTGAAAGTCAATTAATATATCACATTAAAAAGCTAAAGAAGAAAAATCATATGATCATATCGATGGATGCGGAAAAGGGGTCTACCAAAATTCAACACCCATTCAAAATTAAAATTTTCAGCAAATTAGGAATAGAGAGGAATTTCCTCAACTTGATAAACATCATCTAGAAAAAAAACCTAGAGCCTACAACATATTAATGGTGAGGAGCCAGTTGTATTTCCCCTAAGACAGGGAAAAAAAGCTATAATGTTTGTTCTTACCACTTCTATTCCACATCACACTGGAAGCACCAGCTAATGTAATGAGACAAGGAAATGAAATAAAAGATAGGCAGATTGGAAGGGAAAAAAATATACAACTGTCTCTGTTTTCAGATGACATCATTTTCTATTTACAAAATACCAAAGTATCAACAACAAGAACAAAACTCCTGGAATAAACAGCAATTATAGCAAAGTTGCTGATTCAAGGTTAATATACAAAAGTCAATTGCTTTTCTTTTTGCCAACAATAAACAATTTAAATTTGACATGAAAAGCACAATATCATTTAAATTAACACCAGAAAAATCAAATACATGGTAATAAATCTATCAAAATATGTGTAAAATGCATATGAGGAAAAGTATAAAACTCTGATGAGAGAAGTCAATGATCTAAATAAATGGCAGAAGATATTCATGTTCACGGACAGGAAGACTACTATTGTTAACACATTAGTTATTCCCAAGTTGATCGATACATACAATGCAAGCAAAAATCCTGGCTTTTCTTGGTATCAACAAACTGATTCTAGAGTTTATATTGAAAGGCAAGAGACTCCAAATATCCAATACAATTCTTAAGAATAACACAGATAACTGAAGCTACCTGATATTAAGATTTACTATTAATATAAAACAAGAATAATCAAGATGGCATGATATTGGCTCAAGAATAGATACATAAATCAATGGAACAGAATAAAGCACTCAGAATTTGTGCAACACAGATATAGTAAACTGATCATGGACAATGGAGCAAAAGCAATACCATGGAAAAGAATGATCTTTCCAAAAATTGATGCTAGACCAAAATAAATAAATCTAGATACTGACTTTACACATCTTCCAAAAGCTAACTTAAAATGGATCAGAGACCTAAACACAAAACATAAAAGTATTAAACTCCTAGAAGTTAACACAGGAGAAAATCTAAGTGACCTTGGGTTTAATGATGGCTTTTTTGATACGATACCAAAAACATAACACAGGAAGGTAAAAAATAGATAATTTGGGTTTCATTAAAATTAAATTTCTGCTCTGCAAAAGACAGTGTAAAGAGAATGAAAAGACAAGCTACAGACTGGCAAAAGACTTGTATACAGAATATACAAAGAACTCTTAAAACAAGCAAGCCAACTAAAAAGTGGTCAAAAGATCTGAACAGACACCTCACCAAAGAAGATACATAGATGGCAAATAAGTATATGAAAATATGGTCAGCATCATATATAATTAGGAAATTACAAATTAAAACAACCTATATCAATAAAATTGTTTTATCTCAATAAATGTCACTGCTTCACAATAATTGTTTTATCTCAATAAAACAATGAAATATATTACTACAGTGCTATTAGAATGGCTACAAATGAAAACACTGACAACACCCCATGCTATGGGGGTTGTAGATCAATTTACTCCTGGTGATAATGCAAAATGGGATACCACCCTGGAAGATAGCTTGGTAATTTCTTACAAAGTTAATCCTAGTCTTACCATATGAGCAGCAATCACACTCCTTGGTATTTACTCAAAGGAGCTGAAAACTTATACCCACACAAAAACCTGCACACAAATGTTTATACCAGCCTTACTCACAATTGCCGAAAAGTGGAAACAACCAAGATAGCTTCAGTAGGTGAATGAATAAACAAACCTATACAGTGAATTATTATTCAGCAATTTAAAAAAATGAGCTACTAAGTCATTAAAGATATGAAGGAAACTTGAATCCATATTGTTTTCTTTCTTTTCTTTTTTTTTTTTTCTCTTGTTCTGAGTAGGGTGCTGTGGCATTAGCGTAGCTACCAGCAACCTCAAACTCCTGGGCTCAAGCTATTCTCCTGCCT